GAGAGAGAGAGAGAGAGAGAGGACCTGGCATGGGCTTTTGCAACCTCAAAGCCCACCCCCAGTGACACACTTCCTCTAACAAGGCCACACCTCCTAATCCTTTCAAAAGAGTTCCACACCCTGATGACTAAGCATTCAAATATATGAGCTATGGGGGCCATTCTTATTCAAACCACCATATTTTTCAAGGTAATTCTGTGAGCAGTAATCTCTCTCACTCTGTAAATGTCTTACAGTATTTTCATTTTTCAGCCCTTCTGACAGGATAGCTGAGCTGGGTATAGGATTCTAGGTTGGCAGCTGTTTGTTCTAAGCATTTTGTCTCTCACTCTTCTCTCTTTTCATGACCCTTATTTGATATGTGCCCACCTTTCTCACGCTGTCCTGCTCACATCCTAGCCTCACTTCGTGGTTTCAACTCTTTGTCTTAAGCTATACTCTAGATTTTACTTCACTTCCAGCTTTTCAAAAATATAGCTAATTCTATCTTTGATTTTGAAAAAAAAAAAAAAAAACATGATTCACCAGTAATGTTGAATTTTTAACATTTGAGATTTATAGTTTCCACATGTTCCCTTGATAATTTCGTTTTTGTTGTGTGGCATTGTTCTTATGGTCCTGGTGTCTATTCTTTAATGTTTTAACATTTAACTTATTACAGTGCTGGAGATTGAACTCAGAGCCTAACCTGTGTTCTATCACTAAGCTCTACCCACAGGTAATACGTTAAAATTTTCAATGAACTTTACAATTTTGTTTTATTTATTTATTTATTTTGTTTTGTTTTGTTTTGTTTTTCAAGACAGGGTTTCTCTGTGTAGTTTTGGTGCCTGGCCTGGATCTTGCTCTGTAGACCAGGCTGGCCTCAAACTCACAGAGATCCACCTGGCTCTGCCTCCCGAGTGCTGGGATTAAAGGCGTGTGCCACCGCCGCCCAGCAAACTTTACAAATTTTTTAAAGCTTGTGTGTGCATGTGTGTCTGGGTGGGGGTACATGGACATAACTGCTGATGCCCATGGAGGTCCAAAGTAGAGGAGCCCCTTGGAGCTGGAGTCACAGACAGTTATGAGCCATGTGATGTGGGTGCTGGGAATTAAACTCTAGTCTCTGAAAGAGCAGCAAGTGATTTTAAACAGTGGGCCACCTCTCTAGCCTCCTTCATGACATCTTTAAGTATCTTTTAATATTTTTGTATAGTTCCAATATCAAGAGTGAGATTTTTTTTTTATTTGACATGTCTGGTGATGATCCCTTATGGTGGTTTGGGTTTTGATTGTGATCTTTTTTCTCTTGATTTGTTTTCCTTTGATTGTGACTTTTCCTCCATAGCATTCCCTTACAGCCTTGGCTGTAGACCTGTCTGGACATGTCCCTTCTCTGAAGGCATCTGCCAGCTCTTCTAGGTCTTAGCAGTGATAACTGGTTTTTATGTTATTTTTTTTTTTTTTTTTTTTTAGCTCGGATGCTTGTACACATGCTGAATAGAATCCAAGCCTGTCCACTGGGTGCTGAGTCCTTGATGGGCGGACACCAATCTCTCCTTGGGCAGGTGTGAAGTTCTCTCGCTTTCCACATCGTGGACACACCAGCCCCGGTGATCCCCACCTCTGTGACAGCTAGCTCTGCTGCACAAGGTCTACAGCCAAGACTCCTCAACTGCGTGCGCTCAGCACCCAGCCCAGCTGAGGTAATCATAGTATTAGAAGCCATTTTGTTCCTGCCATGATGTCCCCTTGACATGGAATTTCCTCTGTCGATCTAGCACAAGGACTTCTCTCTTAACCTTGGACTTAGCCATGGCTTTGAGTTTCTTTTTGGTTCTATTTTTCCAACCATTCCAGCTCCCAGATTTGGAGAGGGGTGAGGTTGGGAGGCACAGCTCTTTCCCATCTGCTCAGCATGCTTGGCTGGCCAGAAGTCCTAGCCTTGCTTTCACAGAGCACAGCTGCTTTTGGTGTTGGAAGAGACTCACTTAATTCATGTTCTATTTTGTTTGATAGCTGTTCAGAGGGAAGAAAGGCCCAATTCCCTCAGAAGTCAGATAATAAGATGAAGATTTCGTTTGTTGAAAGGAAGGAGCCAAGAGAGCAAGGCAGGGAGCCCAGAGAAGAGCTGACAGGGGTACTTCTTTGGAAAAAGTTCAGAGCTACTTGGAGCAAGCGGGAATGGAGCCAATCTCTGAGGAGGCTGGAGCGCCGAACAGATCCAGGGGGCCCAGGAGGTGAGTAACATCAGCAATCTCCACAGAAATGCACACAAGCAGCTTCAGTCTTGGGAAGAGGCCCAGGCTGCCTGGGGGTGGCCTGGAGACAAGTAAGGAAGTGATCCTGGGAATAAAATTCACCGTGGTCCAGGGAGATCTGATTTTTGTTTAACCCTTGCCTGACCGAAGCATCCCAGAGCTTCTAAAAGAAGGCTTTTCTGTGCCTTTACAGTAATGAGCCTGGAGCGAGAGGCAGCTCCCAGTGTGAAGGTCCTTTTCTTCTGCTACTGCACGGTGGTCTGACCCCCACCTCCAGTGCTTACGACTCAAGCAGCATCCATCACTTCCGGTCAGTGTCTAGAAGCACGCAGGAAGTGAAGACGGTCCTGACCCCTGCAGGATGCGCAGCTGCCCCGAGCTATCGGGCTACCAGGAGGAGACTTGAAGTCCGGAGGAGTAGAGTCTACCTCAGACAAAGCAAACAGTCTAGTTTCTGGTCTCCAGAGGCTAAGAGATTGAAGCCACTTTGGCAGGCACGAGAAGACCCCAAGCCCCTTCCCTCCCTCCCCCATTCCCCAGCAGCAGGGGCCGTGAGTGGCAGTTAGGGACGACATCTTGGAGGGAGCTGGAGACTCAATTCTATTCTTGTTCAGCTGGTAGGATGCCAATCACTACATCACAAGCGGCCTGATTGGGAGCACTAAAGAAAAAGCAGGGACACAAATATCCCAGGGTAGGGGTGAGGGGAGAGGGGCACAGGGAAGAGACAACTCAACCAACAGCCCCTCAAGGCCAGGAAAAGGAGGCAGGTTTCTTGAGTGTGGGTAAGAGAATCCTGGGGGTTTTCGAATCCAGCTGCAGAGGCAATGGAACCTCAGCGCTGCGTCGTGGCCAGAGGGGACACTGTGTTGGGACACCGTGGGTGAGCAAGGAGAGTGACCCCAGGACCCCAGGGTTGATGAAGGTCAAGGAGTCCAGGGATACTTTCCTCAACTTGGTGCTGGTGATGGCAAACACTTCCCATAGACACTCTCTGAAGCACTGTGCATGTAATAATTCACTTCATCCTCAGAACAACCTTGCAAGCGTGGACCAAGCAAGCCACTTCCCTGAGTTCCCATCATCAGTAAGAGGCAGGGCTACTTTCCAAGTCCTGACGGAATGGATGGCTCGGGTGCCCATGCTCTTCACGGTAGACTTAGTGGTGTTTTTAAACCGAGAAACATGTCAGTAGCTAATAATATCAGTACCACTGGCTGCCACATTGTGCCTGTTCTGTGCCCTGCGCCGGCGCCCCCTAGGAGAGTTCCATGAGAAAGTGTTACTCCCAAAGATGGGAGGAGAAAGACCACCCGCCCAAATCATCATCACCAAATTAATTAAAACACGCAGTTAATTAAAGCAAGCTTTTTCAATTTGTGTTCGTGGCCCGTCTCTCCCTGAAAGCGAGTTCCAAGGGATTGGATGTGAGGAAGATGAGGGGAGGCAGTTTCCCAATGGGAGATTTGGCGGGCAAAATAGGCAGAGTTCCAGGAGTAGAACATAAACGTGAAGCCCCCCTGAAACAAAGATGTGACGACAAGGGAGCCATAAGGCAGTCATAAGGACCTTTTGAAACAAGGGGACGGGTACAAGACGGTCATTGCAACTATCTGAAGCTAAGACATGGTTGCCGTTGCCTGGAATGGGCAGTACAGAAAGAACCGTGTGTAGTTCAGGTGACAGGTGGGGCGTGGCGTCATCCTGGAGAAACAGAGGTTTCATCACAAACAGGAATGAACCTAGTTTGTCTTCACTATACGATGGTTTTTAAGTCCAAGATGGAGTCAGGCTGGTTCATCAAAAGTAGTAGTATTGCCCACTTCTGTGAAGGTGGGAGAGAGGCCTAACAGTTAAGTAACTTAGGAATGGTCACCAGTTAATAGGTGGCCGGGCGATGGCGCCAACTTTTGTGTCTGTGGCAAAACACCACGAAGGTGCTGATTGGTGGGGGGAGGCTGTCCTCCGTATGTGAACGCGGACACTCACAGACTAAGCCATCCTTTCCTGTGGATGAAGGTACCAAGGATAGCTCCTTTTCTCAGTATTGTTTCTTTTCTGTATAACGGCTTTGAGGATGTCCGCCAAATCCTGCCCGGCCTCGCTTTTCATACATAAAGCTTTACTGGAACAGAGCCACGCCTACTCTTTATGGAGAGTCTATGGCTGCTTCTGAACAGAACGGGAGAGTCTTGAATGCTGCAGTGGGGACCACATGTCTCATGTGCCTACATTATTTCCTGTTTGACACTCGGGGGCGGGGGGGGGGGGTTGCTGAAGTGACGGTAGACACCAGGGACAGGCTGAAGAACTGTGGAAGGAGCCGGGAGGGGAGGAAACCGGAGTGACTGTCAGCTTTGGAACCACCGACCACTCCTCACGTGTTCCAGGAGCCACACCTGTGTGTCAAGTGTGTGCTGCTGCATGATAAAGATGCAGACGTGCAGAGGAGAGCCTCCTGGGAGAAGCACTCGTGTATTCACAGGTAGATAAGGGAACAAGAGCTTGGATGCCCTGGAAAGTGAGCTGCATGTGGCACACATGAATGATGAAGGCAGCAACAGTTCCATTCTTATTTATCATCTCAGCTCCTGGAGTCTCTAGACAATGACAGTGAATCCACCAAATCAGGAGACGGTGGAGGATTCCGTCATTCACGGTGGTGCTGCGTGTCAAGAACTAGACAGGCACGATCTTTGCTTCCGGAGCCTCTTCTTGACGGGACAGAAAAGAAGAGAAAATGGAAGAAGAAGTTTGGGTACTTGCGAAGAGGCTTCTGTTCTTCCAACAAAGGTGGGGGGCAGGGGAGGGGCGGAACAAGAGCCAGAGGCTTGAGAGAAGTGCCGATTTCTAGTCCTTCCTTGTTGTGGTTAAGGTTTCCGCAGAAAACAAACACAGCAGGCACCAACCTGAGGGGAGGAAGGGGATTTCCAGACTCAGCAGGGAGGGCTGCTCCCAGCAGCCTCAGCAGGTCAGGAAGCAGAGTGGTGGAGCACGTCATTGAGGAAGAAGGCCTCCCCAGGACAGCCAAGCATGAGCACAGGGGTGTGAAGTCTATTAGAGGCTTGGAAGCATTTGTTACCGAGCAGAAGGTCATGGGTCACCATACTGAAAGTATTGATCAGGTCCATGTCTGCTCGCTTCCTTCAGCAAATCTCAGGCCTGATTTCCTCGCTGACAGGCTCCCCTGATTCCAGCAGTTCAGAGCAAAGATTAGCATTGTCAATTAGGCCTGGATACATTGATTTCCTAATTAGCCTTTGGTCGCACTGGGATCTCTTGCCTTGCTGGGCTCCGAAAGCTTAGGCTGTCACCAATGTCAGAGAAACCCTTGTCCAAGTGTGGAGTCAGGCGAAATAGTACCCGCCATAGACAGCGCCTTGGAAATTATAAATGGGCGTTTGCTAATTTTTGATATAAGACCACGACCTTTCTTGTAAGTACAGACCCACTTTTCTTCCCTTCGCTTTCCTGTCATAAATCATGCCCCTGAGACATCTGCTATGATTGATTTCTGTTTCACTCAAGACCTGAAGCACCGTTCCTTGGGGTTTTCAGGAGTCCCCTCCCTAGTCCTGTCCCTGATACTCTGTTAGAGAACTCAACAACACCTAGCTAGGAAGTTGTCTGTCTGTTTAAGTAAATTGCTTTGATGGGCAGAGTTGAACCCAAGTCTAATAGAAATAACTCTTTCTCTTTTGCCCGTATTTCATTAGTTCACATACAATTTAACTAAAAGTAAAAAGCTGGGGCTGGAGAGATGGCTCGCTGGTTAAGAGCAAGCACAACATTGCTCTCGCACTTGCAGAGGACCTGGGTTCCCTTCCAGACATCTGTCTACACGGTGGCTCACAACCATCCACTCATAACCCCAGTCTCAGGGCATCAGACACAGGCTCATGGTACACTTACATTCATGCAGGCAAAGCATTCATGTACATAAAACAACACGTTAAAAATGGAAAAACAGTACATAACTGGCATAAACGGAGGTGGACTGGGCACAGCTGGCCCAGGGTAAGCAGACTTGGGAAAGAGCAGGGAAGGGCATCTCCAGGGCATCTATCCGTCGGTGTCTTTTCCTTTTCCTTTCTTTTTAGTCTTTTCTCATACATTACATCCTGCCGTCTTTGTATTTTTCTGAGAGTGCAAGACCAGCTAAGAGGAGTTGGGCTGAGCATGCCTCTCCCAAACTTCCTCCATGCCAGGACAGAGGGAGTTGTTTGACACTGAGGCCAAATTGGTAGTGACTGTTCAGGAGTTCGGGGCAGCACCCAAGACTGCCGCTGGTGCCTTGGCCGCAGCACAGGGGAGGCCCTTTTTTTTCAAGCTTGGAATTTTACAGCACAAGAAACTTTGGGAGAGGAGGGACCCCCAGTAGGTCTGCAGCTCAAGCAAGGCAAGAGTTTATGGGGTCTGCTTTCATCTTCTGGAGAAAATGGCAGTGCTAAGGTCTAGAAATACCCAGTTGTCACATTGCCAGGTATGACCTATTACAGGCTGGCCTCTGGGTGAGGTGCCCCAACACAGGGCTGACACCGTCATCCGCCCCACCCCACCCCTTGGGTTTGCAGCCAAGGGAGCCACATCCACCAGTAGAGGGCGCCAGGCACAGGGACAGAGCCCTGCTTAGGGTGGGGAGCGGAGCAATGCCCTTAGAGGAAGGAGGACCAGACAATCGGGCCGGAACTGCTCTTGACCTTGACCACAGTTGTCATTCAAACTGGAAGCTCTAGCCATGGTCTGTGGGACCCCAGCACCCTGGCGCTGACTATGGAGGCTCGCGACAAAGGAATTCCGAGTGAACAGCAGGGACCAGCCTGGCACCAGGTCTGCAGATTCTGAACAGGAAAAACCCCTGGGAGAGCTAGGGCAGGGTCACGGCCCCCTCCTTCAGGGGAACTTCAGCTTCTGGCGCCTGCGTCTTGGAGGACCCCAGCGCCTCACCCTGCAGCCTGGAGCGCTGGTGGCAGAGGGATGAGGAATCTCAGAAGTTGCTGGGTGGGGAGTGGGAGAGCAGAAGGGGCAGAGCACCATCTTTGAAGTCAGACCAACTGGGTTAGGGTCATAGACCTGCCGGTTTGTGGCTGGATATTCACGGGCATATATATATTCCTTAATACTCACACTTGCATTGTAAAAGGGGAATAGCTGTACTACCTCAGTGGGTTTTTGAGAGGCACTCAGTTCTCCTACCACTGCCTGACCCACAGCAGAGGCCAGAAATCAGACCACTTAGCCTCTCCCGACCTCAGTTTCCCTTTCTAGGACAGTGTCCTTAGTGGTGAAATGTTAGCAGACCTTGACAGTGATAAGAATTTACTGTTCGGGGCTCTTAGGCATCGGCGTCAGCTAAGCAGACATCAGATCCACCTGGCATTTGGAAATTTCTGGATTTGGATCACAGGATCCTGCAAGCTAAGTCAATATAATTTTCTGTGTTGCCTTCAAATCCCTAGAGGCTTGAGGTGGATTTCATTACTTTCCCTTCTGATTCAGCCTCTGGCCTCCTCATCTCAGGCTTTCCAAATCCTGTCTTAGGAGTTTCAATATTTCTGCAAATATTTTTATTACATTCTCTTTTTTTATAAAAGGTGGAGCCTGTACCCTCCTCTTGCCCGGGAACTGCTTAATGACCCTCAGTTCCTCAGGGCAGGAGGCTGCCTGTGACCCCCAAAGCCTCTGTCCTCAGACACAGAAGCTGCCTGGCCTTCCTCTCTTCGCTGTCAGGCTCTGGCAGAAGCCACCCCTCCTTACCTGTCACATGGGTGAGTGGCTGCGCTGGCCCCATCCAGCCTGGTGGCTGCACCCCAGACCTGCGTGTGCCCCGTCATTGCCTGAAAGGCTCTGGAACAGAACCACCCAGTAACGCGTCTCCTAGACCTCCTGGCCCACAGCACTTGTTCCTTATTTCTGTGTTCACTGTGTTAGTGGTAGCCTTCTTAGATGGAGGAAACAGACCTGCAGAAACAGGTTCGGGATACAGTCTCCCGAGGGGAACTGAAATCAAGGCCCCCCACCCACACACACACACACCCTCAGTGTGCCTGCTTCTCCTTTGGGAACTGTGCTCTGAAGACACAAGGTGTTACCTCAGGGAGAAAGGCAAAATCTCCATAGAAATACCATGGGGAGGGGGAGGGGGGACTGGAGAGATGGCTCAGTGGTTAAGAGCACTGGCTGCTCTTCCAGAGGACCGGAGTTCAATTCCCAGCACCCACATGGCAGCTCACAACTGTCTGTAACTCCAGTTCCAGGAGATCCAACACCTTCACACCAGCTCATCTAAATAAATAAGTTAGATACA